TTGATTGGCAGATATATTTTTGTTTTGACTGATTAATCTGTCTTGAGGAGTTATATAATTTTTAAATTGCTGTTGTGCAATTTGCTTTAATTGAGAAATTTGATATGCCTCAGTTATTATTCCCGAATAATTGTTAAGAGCAGTTGATGAATTTTGGGGTTGTAAAGTAGAACTTGTTGGATTTTCTTCATCGCTCAATTCACTATTTAATAAAGTCTCACTTGATAACGATAAATTATTGTTTTCATCATCACTATTATCGTCACTATTATCATCACTATTATCATCACTATTATCATCATTATTATCATCACTATTATCATCATTATTATCGTCATCATCACTGTCGTCATCACCATCATAAGAACTTTCTTGATTTGAATTAATATTTTGAGCTAAGTGATTCCCGTGTTGCTGTATTTGCTGATTGCGAATTTCTTCCGTTAATGAGGCACCATGAATGAATGCGTTGTCGTCGTCGTCGTAATATGTAGCATTATTTCCTTGATTCTGTGCAGTCAAGGCAGGTGGAATTTGCATAAAATGTTGAATATTATTTCGCAGACTTGCTATTTCAAATGGAGTTTGTTGTTGTGATTGAGTCTGACTTAATGACGTTGGATTTTTAGAATGATTATTGTTGTTAATTTCATTATCCGAAAAATCGGAATCATCGCTTTCCTCATAATAAACTGGTCGTCCCATTTCTTTGTTGATATACTAAGCTTTTGCGTTATATGAGCGAAAAAGTACTTTGAGATTTAGGCAACAAGAATTTTTATAAGTGTAGCAGTACGTAGTACGTTAAGATCAACATGTATCGGTATTAAAAATTATGACGTACTCTTGACGCAGATTATCGATTATGATCTTTTTATCTGATATTGAAAACTCAAATTTTGCAAGATACAGTATAAGCGTCGTAGTATGAAACATATATTAATAGAGGTTTCCGTTAGTTGTTCGGCTAACAGGATGCTTTATACGTACGTTTAGTCAAAAAAATAATTTGAGATTGTATAGCTTATCATAATTATCATTCTTCAACAGTAAAAATAGAAAGCTCTAGGGTATCTGCAAATAGTTATGCCACCCTAGGCAAATCGAACTATTTATCCGTTGATGAGGTCAGATCTCCGATTTATTCGATAAATGTTGAATAATAGTAACATAATTTGCTTTGTACAAAAAAATTTTTTTTTATATTAATTATTATTGGATAAAGTAACATTAATAGTATTTGGACATAATAAAATCACCAAAATCTCTCCCCCGATCATGTTACTGTAACCAGAGTTGACTGTATGTTTACTAATACCAACCAAGATAATGAATGTGTCCGAGCTATTAGAGAAAATTTTCAAAAATTCACCACGATTGAGAGTTTATTACATAATCCATTATATCGACAGACTTTATTATAGATTTTTTGAACTCAAGTTCACTATATCGAGTGTTCGCTATAACGAGAGTGATTACATTATTTGCTCGCACATCTTTGCAAATTTGGGAGTTATCTATAGTAGAATTTTGCATGTATAAACCTACAAAATGATATAATTTTTGTGTTTGTATTATGTGGGATCAAATCACTAGACCGTAAAAGCTTTTATAAAAGTGCCATTTACATGAACATGTATTACTGCATTTGTATGTGTAATTTCACTGGATCACTTACATTTTGATGTACCCAGTCTCTCACTCTCCTTATAGTGAAGGGGTAAATTCTGAGAGCCTCCATTACCTGTATAGCGAATTATCCACTATATAGAAAGAAAATTTACTAATTGTATTGACTTTTTGTGTAACAAGCTCCACTATACCGAGAGATCCACTATAAAGAACCTCACTATAAAGAGATTCGCTATGTGCTGTATCCAATGTTAATTGCTATATACATTGAGAAACAAGTTCGCAAACAAACGTAATAACCATAATCATCAATTTGCAAACTTAACTACAACAACATGGAAATTTCATATGCACAATTTTTTCTTGCAAGGTTTATCACGTTAAATATATGCTGCGACATATTATTTTAATAGCGGCTAGAGGCGTTTATTATAGTTGAGATGTTATTTTTCAATTAATAAACTGAAAACTGACCTCTAATTCGAGAATTCCGGTCATGTTAAAGAAACCGTTTTTCTTTAATTCTTTTTCTACTTCAAATACGATACGTCCTTAACAACAGCTTTTCAAGTACCACAAACATAGCGATTTCCATTTCATAAAAAGCAGTGTAATCCTAGCTTCGCTGCAAATATTTATTAAAGTTTTTAAATCACCTTTTAATAACTCCTTTACACATACATACATATATACATGTATATATTTCCATGAGATAATTTCGACACTTTGCAAATATTATTAGTTAAAATGAGCATATAACGAAGTGTTATTAGTCAGCTCGATTAGAAAGACCAATAAGGTAATAAACAATACAAAAATTAAATTTATTCAGCTTCAAACGTCAGTTTCTAATCTGTAATAAAATTTATATCTAAAGCATTGACAAAGGAATCTTTTAGATTTTGCTACTTTACTCGGACTGTTAAATTGATTGTTATTAACTTCTCATCATTTTTGTGTTATGTACCGGATAACGTATAAAGAGTTGCGGTATAATTACCCGAAACCCCTTTCCCCGACACAACATTTCCCCGAAGCCATATCCCGACAACCTATTTCCCCGACATGACATATTCCCGACATGATATTTTCATGCTTAGATAAATATACAAGAATTAAAAAATACATCCATAATCTGTATCGGGAAGTAGATACCTAAATCTAGCTTGATACACTAAGAAAAAGAGGTTCTGGAGGACAATTTACATATAAGCCTACCTCTAATTCTAACCCTAATCCTAAGCCTACCCTTAAAGTTAACGTTAATTACATGCTAAGTCAACCAGTTAATACACTATGTCATAATATCCCCATCAGCCGGGGAAACGTTTTTTCGGGAAATGCTATCAGTTATTTTTCTTTCGGGGGAACGTCATGTCGGATAAATCTCCATTTGGGAAACGGGTGTCGGGTAAATGGGTCAGGTAAATTTACTGTCAGAGTAGTGGGTGTCGGAGAATCAGGTGCCTCCCGTATAAAGTGCACTCTATAGAAAATTTAACCATCTAATTTTCTTTTAGTAAAACCAATTACTGTACTTTGAATTCACGGTGCAATTTCTTGAAAAATTTTTAATGGCTTAAAGGTTCAATTAAGTGGCAAGGTTTTACGGGAGGAGGGTAAACTGTGTTATGAGAAAGATGCTCGACTCCTTAATTGCAGCAATTTATTATTCCACATACCGTAAATTCTCAAAACAACGGGCATGGACGTTATTTAGAAAATCGCACCTTCTAAAAATAGCATAGTTGGTTTCAAAATAACGCGCACCTTACAATACATTAGCGGATCTATAACATGTGTACGTACATGCAGTAGTTTATTTGAATGTAACGTTAGAGCTTTTATGAGTCGTAATTAGCATAATGGTCCCAGAGCCGATTTCCTGCTCAGTTTTTTCACATTTTTTATTTAGGAACGGTTTAAAAAAAAGAGAGAACAAAAAATTCATACGTAAGCACGTATTGTCATTGTTCTGTACATGTATATAGAAATGAGAGAAATACAGATTGACATTCTATTATATACTGCCTATCGAGTTCAGAAAATCGACCCTTTATTTCGAAATAGCGCACATGGGCGTACTCGAAATAATGTGCAGATGCCTGTTATTTCAAGAATTTACGGTGTATCCATTTCTCTACCATACAATCCGTTCATGAGCTAATCATCACCGTGAACTTATCCAATAATATATTGTGATAAGGCCTTTAGTTTTTCGCCTGTGCCTTTAGGTGTATTTGGTAGTAATTGAATTGGAAAAAAGTATAGCCCTGCAGTAAATATTAGCCGGTAATGTCTAAAATAGTTTATACACAATTTTTTGAATTCGGAATAAGTTATGGTGTTTGAAATAAGTATTACATGCTGAATCTGAAACTTTGATTGTCTATACGCTAGACTTGAGTATTTACTGCATCTCTAGCCAGATAAGTATGTTGTTCTTTGATGCGATAATAAAGGACTTTAATATTATCTGTTTTCTACTCTTTCATTTTGTGGATTTTTACATAAATAGATTAATAATGAGGATTTTTAATGTTAACAAATTTAGTTAGGATAAAAAAATGTTATTTTCTTAATTACTGTGCCACGTAAATAATCTGCTTCAATCGAGTAGCTTACTATTTAAGAATTGCTGCGAAACCGTCAAAACCCTTTGACAATGGTCTGTTGAGTTTCGATTTTTGACAAAGGGTTTGCCAGGCAACTCTAGTATAAATATGAGTAATTACTTTTAAATTAATTGTCAGTGTTATGCTTTAAGGGCAAAAAAAGGCAGAAAACAACTTACAGTTCACCCTCGTCAATGCGCTTTATTACGGTACGCGATATAAATAATGAGAATCACATTTTTATTGATCGCTCTATTAATATATAAATTATTACTTTTATTTAAAAAATTTGTTTTCAAGATTTAACAAATTATAAGACCAATTTATATTATAATGGTAATAAAAGAATGTAAATTTGGTAGCAAAATGTTGGATTTTCTCTACAAATAATAATTTTATTTTTATACGAAAATAAAAATAATACGTTTCATTCCCTACTTTTCTCAAATTTCCCATAACAAAAAGTTTGTTCTTGAAAATGGTTCGAGCACCATTCTGTAACTAAAAACTGCATAATATACACGCATTTAATCTGAAAACTCACTTTGATTTATCTTTAATTATATTTATATTCACATCTTTGTCTATATGTGAAAAAAATAATCGATAACAAGTAAATACACTAAACACTTTTGGTCGCTGTGCGAGATCGGTATAGTTAATATTAATTCAATCACCGTCAGGATTATTATCTGATTTTTTTAACTAAATGTTAAAACATAAAGTAAATTAGTTATCATATTCTTCTTATTTACTGTAGTACTTCTTTATAAATTTGTAGTTTTCTTGTAAGACACTCGATATATCTTAATCCCTTTGATTTCATGTATTATAGAAATTGCGTGGATCAGTTGGAATTGAAATCAATTTTGTAGTAAAGATTCGACTGATGTAAACTGCATTTAAGTGGAGTTTTGCTTTTTGTTCACTTAAATTTTATTTATCCTCTAAGAGGGTTGATAAAGTTGTAAAGTTCTCAAGTGGTTGGTCAGTATTTTGGAACATTTTTCAATAAATTTGCACCATCCGGGAACATTATTTGGTATCTTAAGTTGTACTGTTTTATAGATGTCAAATTCGATATACGTACATGTATATGCTGCATAAAATCGAAAGTCATCAAACGTTTGTATTTTATAAAATGTATAAACTTCTTTACTAGGATGTGAATACAAAATTTAATCCGTGAACAGACCTTTTCTGAACATATTCACGGATTAAATTTTGTATTTACTTCTTAGTAAAGAAGTTTATCCATTTTATAAAATGATGACTTTAGATTTATGCACCATAAACCATAAAAATATAGTGGGTTTACTCCGTTTTATATTATAAAATATATAAAACACGTATTATTTTTTCAGCGTAATAGTATAAATATAAAAACTATACAAACGAAAAAAAATATCGCTATTGAATTTTTAAAATGAATTATCTTAAAATAATAATATTTTTGCTAACATGTGCTGTTAATGTTTTAGCTCAAAACTCGTACGTAAGACTAAAATATACTCGTAAAACTTATAATTTTAATTTATTTCGATCATAATGTTTTAATGTTTTAGTGCGACATCAGCTACAACTGGAGGTGGGTGTAGTAATTGTGTTTGTATTGTCCACAATTTGAATTTCGTCAATTTCAATGTGTGAATTATCTGAGTTTTCCAATCCTCCAAAATAGCTTTGATGTGTGGGTAGACTCAGCGTCGGATATTTTGTTCCACTTAACACAGTTGCTAATTCTTGAAAATCCTCAAGCACTTCAAAGAAGAGCTTCCATCAACTCCTTTTTTCAAGATGCTTTCCATCTACCCGTGTTTGATTGTTCAAATCGGATTGCATACATGTCATGTTTGCAAATACAAAATTTCACACTTCAAATCAATTAAGCGATCCCAAGGAAAAAAAGTTGAATTCCATCATGTAGAAACATTACCAACAGTAGAGTTGACTACTTATATTAAGATCTCTTTGTGCTTGACGCAACTTTTCCATTTATTTGGAGAATGATTGAAAAAATCCAAAAGATGCTTGGTTTGCAATACAAGAAACAGAACAGAAGCTAATCCTTTGCCAACTGTCAATTGTAAAGTGTGCGTTGCACATGGAATTCTCTTAATACCAGGCATTAATCAAAGTGCTTTGATCATTGATGAGGCATTATCAGTAGCAATTACTATTGTTTTTTCTTCAAAATTCAATTCTTGAATTGATTCCTGCAGCAAAGCAGCTATTTTTTCTTCAATGTGCGGATAGAATACTGGCTTTAAATCGAGCAATGATTCATATATTATTATATTATTGCTAATCCGATGTACATGTACAAGTAATACCAACACGTATAACTATGATTCCCTTGAGATATCCAAAAATCTGTTGTAAGACTTACAGAAATAGAATCTGATTCAAGCAAACCTTTAAACTGATCATGATTCCAGTTATATTCTTTTGTAATCAATAGTTAATTGTCTTGTCACATGGTATTTTGAAATTCAGATTCAATAATTGTAGATAAAATGATCAATAATAAACTCTGAAATTTTGCCAGATTTGTTCATATTTAATGTTCATATATTTTTTTGAAGCTATTAAAAATTTGTATGAATATCTAGTTGTTGATTATCTTTGGTTTATAATTATTAGATCAAAAAATCAAGTAGTATTTTTAATGCTTTTCATGTTATTACTAGAATCTACTGCTCCATGTTCTCTAGATAAATAATAAATTATATTTGAAATATATATGCATAGGTTTTGAACAGATCTTTCTTTTTTTATATCTCTTAGTTGAACTTGAGCTTTTTGGAGAGCTAGTAGAAACAAATAAATTTGATTCTTGTTCATTATTTTTAATAAAATATATTAATTTTCTGTTAGTATGACAATTTTTATTGTAATACAATATTTAAATAATTATTCAAAGAATTAATCATTAAATGAAATACATATATATATTCAAATATTTCTTTATTCACAAATATTTGAATAAGCTTTATTCAAATTCAACCATTAGTAATTTTTGATATTGTTAAATAATACAAATAATAATAATGATAAGTAATTAATTACTGAATTAGCAAATTATAAAATGCTTCAACTCATTTTTTACAGTATAAGATTATAAGAACTCTATAATCTTTTATATAGTTGATAAATTAGATAATATTTCATCTTTATTAATTATATATTCTAGAAAGAGCAATTCTTTTCAAATAAAATTATATTTGGCTTTGTTAATTTTTAGTATAACAATTTTCATATATTTTTATAATTTCTTGTATTATATCTATTATTTTTTGTATTATATTTATTATTTTTTTGTATAAATGTTAAAAATTAATACAAATTTAATATCTTTTAATGTTTTGCCAAATAGATTAAATATAAAATATAGATCACATTATTAATTTAAATACACTTTGTTTTAATTACTTTTCTTTTATTTATTCTTTTTCTCTTTTTATTTATTATTTTAATTTATATTAATTATCTTTTATTATTATTAATATTTTATACATATTGTTACTGTAGTAACATAAATTTCTTTAATTCGATAATCTTTCTTTGATTATGCGAAATTCCCTTTTTCTTAATTTTTATAATT